CCTCTCCTTTACCTTATTTGTAAAATGGTTGAGTGATACCTCCACCTGAGAGAGCCACGGACACCACTTGAGTCCTTTTCCCATCCCTACAGTGAGAGTCAGGAGGAGAAGGACCAAAGAACTGTTGCTTCAGGAGCGTAAGAATGTCTGTTGTTGTCTGCCTTCAGCCATTCTGGAACCCCACAGCTCCTCCTCCAGCCAGAAGGAAGAGCAGCTGCTCAGAATGAGGCTCAACCCAGAAAGGAGAGAAGAGTAAAGAACAATGAGGAACCTGAGATGCCAGAGCAGATCAGCAAGGGACCCTAGATGCCAGCAAGGGACTAGAGATGCCAATAAGGGACCAAAGATTACAGTTTTTTCCTGTATAGGTGGCTCTTGGATCTGCACTGGTGCCAACTCAGATGTGCCCAAAGCTAGGAGCACAGCAGAACCAGAAGGTTCTTATATATCTGTTTATTTTTAAATTGATTTTGTATTTTGGGGGACAGGGGAAGGAGTACAGAAGCCCAGTCAATGTGTGAAACTCATTGCCAGGGATGTTGTGAAGGCCAAAAGTATAAAAAAAGAATTAGGTAAGTTCATAGAGGATAGGTCCATCAAGAGCTTTGAGCCAAGATGGTCAGGGCACAACCCCATCCTCCAGGTGGCCCAAATCCTCTAATTGCCAGAAGATGGAGTGGTTGACAGGGGATGGATCATTCAAAATTGCCCTGTTCTGCTCATTCCCTCTGAAGCATCTAGCACTGGCCACTGTCAGAAGACAAGATATATTGGACTAGATGGTCCATGATTATTGTCTGACCCAGTATTGCCATTCTGAAGTTCTTAAGCCTGAGTTATGAGCTTGCTGGAGTCAATGAAGTGTCCTTTAGAATCTACTATAGTACACTCTTGCTATAACACCCTCGAGATGGGATCTAGGGACCAGAGATCCAGAGTCCTTGCAGTCCTGGGGCCATGGCCAGGGACAGAAAGAGTCTGTCCAGCCCCAGGGCAGGAGGAGCTGTAAGCTCCCACAGTGGCCCCACTACCCCGCCTCTTTTGCTATAATGAACCCCTGGTTATACTGAACAATCGGCTTGGATTCCTAGAGTTCCGTTATGTGAAGGGGCACTGTAGGTGATGCAGTGAAAATCTGAGTAAGTAACTGAAGAGCCTTGCAAGAAGCCCAACAAAGAACAAGAATCTCTGTGTACCAGACCAGGCTACTCCTTGTAGCCTGGATGCACACAATGCTCTATATAGCTAACGTGAACCCTGGCTGCTGGACTCTTAGCCAGCCCCTGCAGAAACAACCTGAGTGCCCTTGGCTCATAATGAGGACTTGACAGTACTTCACAGTATTCAAAAGTTGCACCAGTTTATCTAAATTGTAAGAAGACACCTTTCTTCTTAGCGTGGACACACCCAGTGATGCCATCCTAGAAACAGGATTTGTCCACTTCTCCGGCAGACATTTCTGTGTTTTTTCCCTACACGTGAAACACCCTTTCTGAGCTTGCCTGCAGTGCCAATTAATTCTTCACGTTCAAATCCCTCCTTGCAGGCTCACTGCTATCATGATAATAACTGGAAACTAGCCAGCTATCCTGGCAGGGTAACAGAGATATTAGGGATAGTAGATATATCTCTTTGATAATGCAAAATAAAAATGGAACTCCTTTCAGTTAAAGATATTTTTGTACTCTCAGGACATCACAGTCTGGCTTCTTGAAATTGTACAGCTGGATCTTCTGAACTGCACCTGAGTTCCATCCAATCTAAACGTCAAATGAAGCAGGGGTCTTGCTGGAATACCTGCATGTACTTAATGAAGTTAAAGCCTTTGGGCATTATTGTCCAAAACATTACATCTGTAATTGGAAATATGCCCCGAACTCAGTGTAACAGCTGTTGTGCTATTTTCCTGTGAAAAATAAAGTGAGAAAGAGATACGACTTACCATGTCCTGAAGGTTGTAAATCCAGATTCCGTAGCTGGAAACAAGAGTGCTAAACACTCCAGAAATTGCTGACAAGTGGATTCTCTTTACTTTTGTTTGTTTGAATTAATAATTTTCTAATTTTGCTCACTGTATCTTCTGTTTGATTCATGCTGCTGTACTCCTCCCTTGTGATAACAAACTGTGCAAATAACTCATCTAAGACATTATCAGGGTCTCTTCAGAGAATTTTAATTAACTCTTTGCGTTTGAGTATAACTGAGTGTTTATCACTAGTGCATGTGATTCGATAGCATCAGCCAACTGCAATAATTAAAAAAAATGGTTTTTCCTAAGCTGCAAGAAATAGGTTTTGTGAAGCCTGGTCTCCGTACAGTATTTGTACCAATTTAACTGTGTCACTTAAGGAGTAATTTTTTACTGATAGAGTTAAATTGGTGCAACCGTTAGCGTGGATGCAGTTATACCGTTTGTGACAAAGCTCTGTCCTTGCCTCCATGGGTCCCGCGTTTCCTGGAGGATTTCACGAGCCTCAGAGGCTCACTGTGACCCTCCACGTAACCCTTCTCTCTCTAGAGGCAAGGGTCACAGTCTACTGAGCCATTTTCATCATAAGCCAGCGAGGGAGCTGAGGAGAAGCTACCCTCCCTTGCACAGTCTCTGTTGTCTTCCAGTCTCAGTGATGAATCAGGGGACAATTAAACCAATACAATGGGGAGCAGGGGGGACAAAGGGGCAGGGAGTTCAGGGGGAGGGGTAAAGAATGGGGGCGGGATTTAGGAGAGGGCCATGGTGGGGGAGGGCACAGTTTACATGGGTAGGGAAGGGGGAATTCCAGAGGGTGGAGAGAAGCAGATTTGAGAGAAGGTTGTGGGGAAGGAAAGGGGCAGGATTCATGGAGTTGAGGGGAAGGGCCCTGTGGGATGTTGGGAGGGATCAGAGTGGAGAAGAGAGTTCAGAAGGCAGCAGATGTGGGGGAGTCAAGAGGAGGGAGGAAGATGTACAGGGGGAAGGAGCAGCTCAGCATCAGTGAGGGAATTTAGTGAAGGGGTTTTCATGGGGTGGCACTTCTCAGGCCTTTCCCAGGCCCCTGGCCCTGGCAGCTGCCACTCCCCCATCAACCCCATCTGGGCCCCTCTGCCCTGGGCAGCGAGCTCTCAGGACAGGGCTGTTTGCTTTGCAGCCTCAGCCCCCTGTTGATTCCCTGCCCCAGGGGAGCTGCTGCCCCATCCCCCTCAGGCGGAGCAGTTCTCGGCTGACAGGACAAAGGGGGCAACCGGCGAACAAGCATCCATGAAAGGACTGGATTGCTACCTGCTCCAGGGTGGGGGGACATTGCAGCCACTGGAGGTGGCAATAGACCAGGGAGTTTAGGTCAGTCCCATTCCCTTCCCCTGTGATGCCTCCCAGGGATACCCAGGGCTGTGAGACACTTCGCTACCACCTGCCCTCCGTGTGAGGAAGCCTTGTCGGTGCATGCCAGGGGGTCACTCCCCAACACAAGCACTCCCCTCTAGGCCTCTTCAGGTCTTGCTCTCTCGGTATAGATGAGTGACAAGCACACACCAACCCTCGAGCATCTCTCTGGAGTGTCCAGCCCCTGAACCACCAGACCTGGTGTTCCCAAACTGCATCTTATCAGTTACACCACACTACACAGCTCCATTGAATACACCGCACTCAGACTTGTTCACACAGAAAGCAAGTATGTTTATTTAACACAGGGATTCAAATGATAAGAAGTAGAAATATTAGAAATAAAGGGTTACATATAAAATAAAATCATGACATGCATAGTCGACCCTCAACTTGATTAATAGGACATTGTCCTGTCATAAGAGCAAAACCTTGCCCCAAATCCTTCCCGCCCGGTGTGGCTGTGATCTTCTATTCATGAGACAAGCACGCAGTCCTCTTGTCTCCTCAGTGGGAAGATGCAGAGTTTGTCTCTTTATCTACAGTTATCGTCCAAAACTCCATTGTGTGCACTTGGAGGATAATTCCCGCTGCTTGTCTTTTCCTGTCCATGACACTCTGCGAGCACTTGATTAACATTTTGCTCAGACTGTAAATGGTTGCCCATTGTGAAACATACAGTACTCAGCGAACATGTAGATAAACCGATAAACATCTCTTGTCTGAAAGAAACCTGTTTTTCACCTTTTCTCACCAGTCCCAAGTCATAAAATTAAAGAACATGATTTTCAGTCTATATACATAACTCCTTACATGTTATCTGTACATACATTTTGCAATGATTAAGATGACCAGTGTGGCACAGGCTTTCAGTAGAGATGTGGTATGATACTCTTTGGTGAACTAGTATGTAGATATCAGGCCCAGGGGATCCCTGAAATCCAAATGCACCCCTGTGTCCTCTGCCAGTTGGCACCAAGAAGTCCCTGGGTCACACACCCCCATCTGTGTCCCAGTAACACTCATGCTACTGACCAGGAAAGTCCCCCAGAGTAGAAGAGACTGGGATAAAGGGGAGCAAGGCTCAGGGTGGGGAGGACTGAGTCCCAACCCCACAGGGTCTCATTTACTCTGTAGGGACAGCTCTGCTCTGGTGCTGCAGGAGCCCAGGGTGAGAGCTGGGGTGTCCTCCATGGGTTCAGGCAGGGGCTCATTCACTGCAGGGAGTCAGGGTGTCCACAAGGCACTAAGTGCTGTCCAGGGTATTTATTAACCACCCAGGAGAATGGGGCCAAGGAACATATGGGGATTTGCCAATGGTTCTGTTTTTTGGGAGGGGGCATTGTGGTGAGGCTCCAGGGAAAAATGATTACTGGGCTGTGCGATGGCAGGGGCTATTTGGTGCAGATGAGCACGAGGGGTGGCCCCTGGCGAAAGACACGGAAAAGAGAGTGACACTAAAATATCAGGTTTCAGAGTAGCAGCCGTGTTAGTCTATATTCGCAAAAAGAAAAGGAGGACTTGTGGCACCTTAGAGACTGACAAATTTATTTGAGCATAAGCTTTCGTGAGCTACAGCTCACTTCATTGGATGCATGAAGCTCACGAAAGCTTATGCTCAAATAAATTTGTTAGTCTCTAAGGTGCCACAAGTCCTCCTTTTCTTTTTACTAAAATATCAGGGACAGAGATAGCAATAGCCAGAGAGGATGGGAAGAGGGAGGGGTGTTGCCCTGAGGACGCTAGAGGGAGCCACTTTCTCAGGCCAGCAGTTGAGAAAGGACATGGGCAGGGAGAGCAGAGGGGGTCCTGGACTGGGGTGACTGCAGAGAGTTTGGGCCGGAAATGCTGTTATTGATGATTTTTATCTCTACACATGTCAATCAATGTCTCTATTTTTCTTTTATTTAATCCTCTTATTTCCTCTTTAACTGTAGAAAATCTTCCACTGGGGCTAAGGTTTAGCTGCATTTCTTGGGGACTGTTCCAGCAACTCAGAAGAGACCTTCTATTGACTGTGGGAACTATGTCCAACCCAACATTCCATAACAGATAAAAAGTATCTTTTCCCCAATTTTTATTCCATTTTCACATCCCATTCCCTTAACTTGTTATCAGTCTTTGACACACTCTAAGACAGTAAGTGGCTGAACTTGGGGTCTGGGGAAGGTCTAACGTGATCCTGGATGCATAAGGTGCTGACGCCATGGGAGTTGAGGCGGGAACTTTGGGGAAGGCAGTGGGATGGGGGCGGGGCAGGGGTGGGAAGAGGCAGGGTAGGGGTGAGGCCTCAGGAAAGGCATGGAGTGGGGGCAGGGGGCAGAGGGAGGTTGGCGCCTATGCTGAGATGTATAAACAAAGAAGTATCAAGGAGGATTAGGGAGATATTACTTCTGTATATGCCAATGGTGAGACCATTACTGGGACATTGTGTCCAGTTCTGGTGTCCATCGTTTAAAAAAAGTGTGTTGGAAAATTGGAGAGGTTTCAGAAAAGATCTGCAAGAATGATTCAAGGTTTGAAAAAGCCTGCTTTATACCAAGAGACTTGGAGCTCAATGCATTTACTTAACAAAAGAGAAGGTTGATCATGATCTGTAACTACTAAAGAAGAAAATAACAGATAGTAGAGGCCTCTTGAGTCTAGCAAACAAATGACAGGTTTCAGAGTAGCAGCCATGTTAGTCTGTATTCGCAAAAAGAAAAGGAGTACTTGTGGCACCTTAGAGACTAACCAATTTATTTGAGCATAATCTGATGAAGTGAGCTGTAGCTCACGAAAGCTTATGCTCAAATAAATTGGTTAGTCTCTAAGGTGCCACAAGTACTCCTTTTCTTTTAGCAAACAAATGTAGAACAAGATCCAATGTCTGGAAATTGAAGTTAAATTTATTTTTAATTGAAAATAAAATTCAGCTTTTAGAGTCAGAGTAACTGACCTGGAACAGCTTCCGAAGTGCATTGGTAAATTCATCATTATTTGGGGTTTCCTTCTAAAATATCTGCTCTTCTTAGTTCAACCAAAAATTACTTGGTTTGATAATGAGCTGCTTCTTACCAATTATGGATTAATAATTTCTTCCACAGCAGGAATTATTGGACGGAATTCTCTGGCCAGGTGTTATGCTGAAAACCAGACTAGCAGACTATTATTGTGGTTGCTGCTGGCCTCCCTTGAAATCTAATAATTTGTTAGGAAGAAACTTCTGTTCCACAATTGTCCATTCAGGGTTCCTTGAATCTTCTTATGGAGTATCTGGTATTGACCACTCTCGGAGACAGGATAGTAGACTAAATGGTCCACTCTGCTCTGGTCAAGTGTGGCAGTTCTTATGTTCCTAGCAGTAATTGTATAGCAGTCACTCTGTAATTGTATCGTAAGTTGTTATGTGACATGAAAAATCAGAAACCTGTCAGCTCTACTTAGACGCTGTGAAGTGAACATGAGGTTCTGAGACTTAAAAAATACAATACAGAATATTTTTTAACATGCCATTTTTTAAAATTAAGGAAAGTTTCAAATATTTAAACATATGTATATTCCATTTCAACAGGCTCTCACCATGTTTTTATTTCATGTTAAAGACTTCTTTTAGGCCTTCCTGTGCCCGAGTTTCAGTTATTTTTCCCCAGTCTCTTGGGAGATCTGCTGGGTTAGCATTATAACTGTTAGCTAACTGGTGATTGAACTTCTGAAAAATAAACTTCCAGTAATCAGAAACCTCAATGCTGGGATCTGGCTGAATGCGCCAGTCTGGGTAATAGACGCGATAATTTTTGTAGGGATGACATTTCCCTTTTGTGTCTGAATTTTGGAATGAGTTCTCAGAAACCACTTCAGAAGAGCATATATCATAGACAAGTTTTTGTGTATCAAGATACCTGTAACCGCATAATCCTTGTGGCCGATGCACAGATGCAAAATGCTCCTTGTGGTCACTGCCTCCTGCTTCACAGGGGACTTTACAAAATGGACACTGCTTCCCACAGCCAAACACTTGCTTGAAGATCTCATCCTGGGGTTTTAATGACAGATTGGAGAGTTTGGTCTGAATATCCAAACCACCAAATTGGAGTAAGATTTCTTGTTCCAGATCCAGAAGAAAAGTTTGAATATTAGCACAAAACTGGCCTGTTTTTGCTGTGTTTTTAAACTGTATCCCAAGTAAGTTGTCCTTGGAAATGACTAGGTCCTGCTGCAGCGCTTCACAAAAGTTGTTTAAAAATGCTAAGACTGTGGTATTTTTTTCATTTTTGGAGCTTTCCAGAACTTCCCTCACTTTCTTTACCATTGTAGATAGAATCTTTTTCTCCAACTCTCCCAGACGCTTAGTCTCCCTGTAATGATCCATCATCCGTCTCTGAATCCAGGTTTTGACAAATTCTTCGTAGTTTTTAATATATTTCACATAGTTATCAAAGTTCATCTCCTCCAGAAGCTTTTTCTGTACAGTGAACTGGAAAAAGGTCCGGCTGCCATATTCAATGGACTCTGCCTTGTTGAGAATGTCATCTACTATCTCTATTCCTAGCCTTTTGTTGATATAATCCACAAAGGCAGGTTTGAGACACTGATAACAGAAATCCCTGGCTCTTGTTTGGTTCTCATCTTTTTCCAAATACAGGTCAGTAAAGGTGGAGAAATACTGAGGTTTCAGCTTCTCTAGACGACACTGAGGATCATTTTGTTTGATAAAATCTTCATGCATCTTCTGAAATCTCCAAGCTGCCTCCCCCAAAATATGAATTTTCAGGTCAACTTCAAAGCAAGCAGTAATGCCAAGTTTTTTAACATCCTCCTGTTGGAGCCTCTCGTTGATCATGTTCAGCAATTCTCTGCAATGGATTTCATCGTAGTCCACTTTGGAATTTACCTTTTCTTCCGAGTATCTTTTACCCTCATATATTAAGGATTTAGCAAATTCTTCTGTGTGAACAGCTGTTTCACATTCCCCTATGAACAACAGTTGTTTCATAGTTTTGATCCATGCTGTATCTATGTACTCGTTTTTCATTTTGAAATTGTCAATTCCATAAAACAACAAACTACCTGATTCCTGTAGCTTCTGCCTGACGGCACTCCCTCGATTTGCCAGGTCCTTTCTCAACTGGGATTCCATCTCTCGATAAACTTCACGTTTCTGTAAGCTGCTGAACTTCAACTCTGACAGTGTTTCTCTCCACATGTTTTCAAATTCTGATTTCAGTTCCTCATGCTCTAGTTTATGTTTTTTATTCCTACATTCATCCAAGACCCTGTCAACTTTCCCTTCAATTATCTGCATGTATGAGGTCTGGATGTTTTCTGTCTTGTGCTGGCCTTTTCGAATTCGAATTGCTACCTCGCACTTGTGCTCGGAGTAGCTCTCAAGTTCATTTTTGAGGCTGTTTGCACTCCTGATAAAATCTTCTCTGTACTTTTCTATCAGGTGCAGATTCGAAACTCCACTTTCAAAATAATCTTGTAAATTATCCAAAACTTTTTGTTTCTCATGCTGCAGTTTTTCCTGTGCCTCATTTTTCAACATGGATAAGGCACTAGCCTGTAGTTTCTCTGATGTCTGATTCTGAATGACAGTTTCCTTTTCAGATACCCAGAGATGTATCTCTTTGCGGAAATGCCACTCCCACTCAGAATACTTCATAGACAGCTGGTTATAGGCTTCAGCTACAAGGCTGTTTCTGAAACTGAAGATGAAGTTCTCATGTTTTACAGCATTCCACAGGCTCTCCACCCATTTGACAAACTGGGGAATGTCCTTAGGGGCTCTATTATGTGACTGTTTCTTTATAAAATCAAGCAGGTATTTCTTTAGCTCACATACCCTCTCACTGTATCCCATGTTCACTGGAGCCATGGGAGGGACTCCATGCCACAGCCCAGGGATGTACCAGTTGTGTTTCTCCGCATCATAGTCCATAATACATGAAAATTTCACTTTTTTACATTGTTTTTCCATCCTAGCTGCAGCTTTGGTCATTTCATTCAGCTGCTCGAGGAGGTGTTTCCTGTCCCTCATGTTTTGTTCATGTGCAGACACATCACTGACATTCTGATGCACAAATTGGCAGTTGGCTTTTTGCCCTATTTCCTCCATTCTGAGAAAGGCATGGACCACAATTTGCAGAATATCCTTCATTTCAGTGGCATTCTCCATGGCCATGTTAACGATGGTTATGTCACTCAGTCCAATCACCAGTGTGGCCAGCTCATTGTCATGTTGATAACTATCCTCCAGCAGGGCCAGTTCAGGGGCTTTCAAGCCTTCTGTGTCTATCACCAGGATGAAATCACAGCCCAGGTCCTGCTGAAAGTTCTCTGCCACTTTAATGAGTGACATGAAGGCTCCTCGTGTACATCGGCCACTGCTCACTGCAAACTGCAGGCCGAACATGGTGTTGAGGAGGGTGGATTTCCCAGTGCTCTGTACTCCCAGCACCGTCAGAACCAGCATTCTGGACCTTCCCCCCAGCTTGGCATGGAGCTCAGTCAGAACATCTGTCACCCACTGCAGTGGGATGTTGGATGAATCTCCATCTATCAGTTCCATAGGAAACCCTTCCAGCATCAGGTCAGCTGCTATGCCTGGGAGATGGATGAAATGTCTTTGGCATTCTGCCTTGTCTCCTTCTTTAACCATTGAGCATTCAGCTTCATAGAATTGCCCCAACTCACGCATGAAATGCTCAACCCCTAAGGAAGTGGTAGATATTAATTTATCCAGCATAGTTAGTGCTTGTGGGTCATCTCCTGCCATTTTACTTTTCCCTTTATATTGATCCCGTAGTTTAAAAAGATTATCTCGAGCAATGTGATCCAGGCTAAACTTCATCCATTTCAGGAAGTAATGTTTCTCCATTGAAGGCAATTGTTCTATTCCATTAATAAATTTAATCAATCCATCAGTAAGGTCACATTGATTCTGCTGTCTACGTAATTCCAACCGTTTCTCTCTCAGTTGACATTTATAGTCTTCAGTGGCAGTCTCCCCTTGCCTTCTCATTCTGCACAGTTCTTTTTCCACTTTAGCCAATTTTTCCCAGAGATCCCCCTGCAGTCTCAGCATTTCACTCTTGTACTTTACCACATCTTTTATTTCCACAGTGATTTCTCTCGCCCGCTTGCTTGCACTCTGGCATTCCTTACAGTCCTCATCTACCTGGATTCCTAGTTCACGTGCAGTCACAGCCATGGCTTCCAAATTAATTCTCTTGGGAGGTGAACTTGTTATGCTTTTTATTGCAAATTTTAGTTTTTGAACAAATCCTGCATTATTTGTGGTGCTGTCTTTCTTCAGCAGTTGTGATTTGCTCAGATTCAGCACTGGAGCCAACTTATTAAGGAATCCCAATGTTTCCTTGGGATTTCCATTCTTGCAGTTGAGGATGAAGTAGTATTTAGTGGCTGATCCCTGCAGGGATGATAACAGCGTGTATTGTCTCTCATTGATGCTCTCAGTAACTATGAACACTGCTGAGGAGACCACTGTTAAAAAGCTGAACTGCAGCCAGTGAGATTCAATGTCTCCACGCAGATTTGTAGCTGCAACGGGTTCTGGGAAAAGATCTGAATTCTCCCTCCCAGCAGGGAAATACCAGGAAATCTCAACCAGCCCATCTGCGATTTTCTGAAGGAAGTTCCCAGACTCCATGTCCCGATGGATAAAGAAATCGTGGTGCTGCTGGGAGGGGCTGAGAACCTCATTGAGGAGTTTGGACTTGGAGAAGCTGCAGTTCCCAATCCGCACAAAGGAAACGGTTGACATTGATGTGAGCACCAGGCTCTCCTCTCTGAACCCTCTGCTCTGTGCCAGGGAGTGCGGCCTCCACTTCCTCACAATGTCCCTCATGGCCCACAGCAGTAGGGTGCACTTGGGGGTGTTGATGGGAGGTAGCAGCAGAGGGAGGGCAAACTGGCACATGGACATTTTGGACAGGATCTCCTGCTGTAGGAAACTGTCTGAGCAAAGCAGAATGGCACAGAGAACATCGAGGGGATGTAGAGACTCTCTGATGTCAGGGTCACTAAAACTAAAAACATCTCCACCTGCAATCTGTGCCTCCTCACTGCCTCCTTCATCATCATATGCCCTATGCACAAGGCTTGTGTTTCTGGCTGTCCCGTTCAGAGTCATTAGTTTCCTCAGGAAATGCCACGGTAAATCCCCTAACATCTGAGGAGTCCAGTTTTCTATACTTTCTGAGCCAATTTCCAGGACATGCTGCAGCCTGAGTTTTGTGCTTTGGTATTCCTGCAGGTTTAGCTGAGAAAGGAGTCCTTGAAAAGCTTTATTTTTCTCTGTAAAACAAAATGAAAATAGGATTCTCACGATTTTCGGAAGTTAGATATTCCCAGACAGAACATTTTTAGAGATGGAGTTAATGATGTTAAATCTTAATAATTTAAAAGGAAAATTCCATTGGTGGCTAGTAATTAGGGGCTAATGGAGTTAAAGCTAATAAACTAATCCCCCTCTTCTATTTCTTTAACTAACCTTTACAGCAGGGGTTCTCAACCTTTTTCTTTCTGAGGTCCTCCTCAACATGCTATAAAAACACCACAGCCCATCTCTGCCACAATAACTGGTTTTCTGCATATAAAAGCTGGGGGCAGCATTAGGGGGTAGCAAGCAGGGCAATTGCCTGGGGCCCCACACCACAGGGACCCCCACGAAGTTATATTGCGCAGGCTCTAGCTTCAGCCCCGGGTGGCAGGGCTCAGGGAGCTGGGCTTCAGCCCCATGTGGTGGGGCTTCAGCTTTCTGCCCTGAGCCCCAGCGAGTCTAATGCTGGCCCTGCTTGGAGGCCCCCCTGAAACCTGCTCAAGGCCCCCTAGGGGGCCCCAGACTCCTGGTTGAGAACCACTGCTTTACAGCATATACTGTTCTTTTTTCCCTTCTCTCCAGCAGCCATATGAGGGAACAGTGGGGCGTCGGGAAGGGGAGTAAGGAGAGTCTGGCAGTGCTCCCCCCATCTTCTTTACAGCATCACGGTAGAGTGCAGTCTCTGGAGGGAGGTGCTGGTGGGACTGGTTGCCCTCATCCCTTATTGGTACATGCAGACTAGAGCTGGAGGTGTAATTTCAAGCTGGAATAGACGTAGGCATGCTAGCTTTGTTTGATTTAGTGTGATAAAAATACAAGTGTAGCCACAGTGGCAGGGGTCGTGGGATGCCCGAGTACAATCCCATCTGAGATCCTATGTACGTACTCAGGAAGTTAGCCCACACCACTGCAGCTAGCATCTACCCTTAGTGTGCTCGCTTGATCAAAGCTAGCGCGGGTATGTCTGCCCAAGCTGGAAATGACACTTCGAGCTCCAGTGTAGACAGGCCCTAAAAGAGCTCCTCTCTCCATTGAAAGTATAGAGCGTTGCTGAGGTCAGAACATGCATACACGCTGCCTTTTCCATCCTCTTGGCACAGAATCAGAGTAATCCTAGAGTGTGAGTGCAGGTACAGCCCCAGTGCAAAGCTCCATCCCCACCTCAGGAGCAGCATGCGGGGCCCAAATTGAAGCAAGACGAGGTAGAGTGAATGAGGAATTGTCCAAGGTGTCACTTTCCTGGTAGGGACCTGTGACCAGGAAGCAGTAGGCCCATGACACAGTGAGGTGAGTGAGCAGTGAAAAGAGTGGCAGGGAGGCCTGTGACAGGGAGGTGGGGAGCAGGTCACATGGATTTCTCAGCTCTTTATTTTTCCCAGGTGGGAGTAGGGCGTGAGAAAGCAGAGTGGTAACTGTCTGCTCATTTTCACTAGGAGCAATGATAGGAGTTACAGTATTAGGAGCTACTGAGAGAACAGAATGTATTTATTGAAGGAGAGGAAAAGCCCCAAATTGATTAGTTTGTTAGTTGATTTTATTGGGACATCAATCCAATCAAGAAGCAAATGTGGGGACAGGGGTGCAAGGAGAAGGGGTAAAATTGTAGAGAGGTTCTCACGTTGTTAACTGGGTTTTCTCTCAAGGCAGATGGGTCACCTGTGAGGCCAGAAATTAACTTGATTTGTATCTGTTTTTTTTAGAGAAGGTGTCACATGGCAATATATTTTATTGTTGGATTCTGGTTTTTAGTTTGTTGGTCTTTGCACTCACTGTTACTCCTTGCTAGGTCTGAAACTTCAGAGTCATGTTAAGATGCAGTTAGTCAGAGGAGTGTCAGTGGAGAGCCTCAGCTCTGTAAGTATGCAGGGGATTTGTGGTCTGCAGTGGCAGAGAGTCCTTAATTGTGTATCTCTGATGGCCATTCCAACTACAGACAGTGGGGGGCTAAATCATAGAATCATAGACGATTAGGGAAGGAAGGGACCTCAGGAGGTCATCTAGTCCAACCCCAATAGATGTATATGTGTGTGGGGTATGGTAATTCACTGTTCAGTGCGTGTTATCCACAAAGGGACTTTAGGCATTGCAACACTCAGCATTGCAACACATAATTTTTAAGTGCCCTGCTGCCCACTAGACTCCTCAGCCCCGAGCTAGAATCCCAGGCTCCCTATATAATGCATGGGGAGAGTAGACACCTAGAAATGGGATTCACAGAAGCCAGCATGCTGAGCGAGGAACCAAAATGAAATACTGATGAAAAAGGTGGGACCTAAGCCCTGCCCCTCAAAGATAATTAGATACTTAACTCTGGGCCAGAGAGAGATGCCTATATCTGCTCAGGATTCTCAGCTGTAAACCCTGTCCTGAAGTTAGGCTCCTAAACTAGGTCATTCGCTGAGAGACCCCACCCCATTATAGCCAATAGCCTGCTGGAGTGTGGGAGATCCAAGTTCAAGTCCCTCCTTCAAATCAGCCAGACTGGGTTTTTGAAAAGGGGCCTCCCACATCACAGGCGATTGCCCTAACCAAAAGGCTATTGAGTATTCTGGGGGATGCATATTCCATCCAGCTCAAAAGATTACCAATCTGGTTGCCCTGGGCTGTCTTTTGTGCAAGATTTGAACCAGCAGGCATGCTCTGAGAATGCTACCAGATCAGACTCCACAGGCTAGAAAGGTGGGGCAATGTCTAGCTGAGAATCCCCAGGCTTGGGGCTGCTGCCCCATCTGCAGCTCCTGCTGGGGCTCAGGGCTTCCACCCTGTGGCTCCTTCCAAGGCTCAGGGCACCCATTTTTCAAATTGGCCAGGGCCTCTGGGCATGGGCCCATGTGTTAATCCTCTACTGACTGTGACTTGCAGCTAGGAGCCCCTGGCTGGCACGCTCCCAGCAGCACTGAGGGGATCGAACCCACCTCCACCTCTAGGAGTCTCCTCCAGCTGCAACAGTTCCATGATACTTCACCCCAGCAAGGCTCAGGCCTTGTCTACACTACTAAGTTTTGTTGCCAAAAACTGCCTTTTGGCGACCAAACAGTGAGAGCGTTCACACTGCAATGCGACTTTTGCTGGGAAAAACGCTTTGTTTCAGCAACAAAAAACTTCCACCCTGAGAGAGAGTTTTTTCTTTCCCACTCCCTTTATTGTTGACAAAGAGCCAGTGTAGACACTGCTGTTTGTTTTGTGGACAGAACTGGCTTCCGCCAGTATCCCACAATGCCTGCCCTGATCGCTCTGTTCAGTGTTTTGATTTCTGCTGCCCTGCAGGCATGCGTCCCTCCCCTTTCAAAGCTCTGGGAAGTATCCGACAGCTGAGTGTGCTGCTCTCTTTGGGGAACAAAGAACAAATCATTGGAATGCTCCTGTTCTGCCTGGCACTAGGAACACAGTGGCAGGCAGACTGCTGTCACTGGTGGGGGGCAGTACTGGATTTATAATGGTGCCAAAGGCACCATGGCACTGGGCCCATGCACAGCAGGGGCCCCCCCGGGCCCGGCACTCCACCTTTGCTACAGCCCAGCAGCCGCAGTGCTGGATCTCCTCTCCAGCCCCTTCCCCGGACGACCTGGACCCTGGGGTTCTCCTCCCCCTGCTCCCACCCACTCGCTCCTCCTCTCAGCTGTCCAGCTGAGGGCTCCTTTCGTCTCCACTCCACATGCCTTGCCGCTCCTCCGGGTTGCCAGTGATGGACAGTCTGCCGCTTCAGGCTCCCCTGGGCTCAGGAACCCCAAAGCCAGGGGCTGTCAACCAACCGCCCGGAGTGGAGTGGAGGGGATGGAGTCCCTGCTTGCCGCTCAGCTGCTCTGCAGCAGAGGAAGGGTGGGGGGCTAGAACCAGGGAGAAAGTAGGTACCCACTCTATGTGGGTAGGTGTGTGGGTGGGATCCTGTTTACCCCCTCCCCAGCTCTGCTGCGCTTGCGGTTTACCCCTGGTCCCTCCCTTGCTCCAGGGACCAACCCTAGCTCCTGCCCCGCTGTGCTTTTGCCCCCCAGCCCCTGCCTTGCTCCAGCTGGGGACCAATCCTCCCCACCTATGCCCTGCTGTGCTCTTGCCCCTCACCCAGAGGAGGATTTACCATAAAACACAGGGTGTCCTGGCACAGGACCCCCCAACGACAGGGGGCCCCAGGGCTGGGCAGCTGCAGGGGCAAAAGCTTGGTCCTGCTGGCTCCTGCTGCAGGCTCTGCCCGCCCCCACTGGCAGCCAAGCTCCCCCCTCCCCGAGCGTGCCACATCCTCTCTCCTCCCTGACCCTCCCAGCACTTCCCCTGCCTCCAAACAGCTGTTTGCCAGCACTCAGGATGCTCCGGGAGGGAGGGGGAGGAGCAGGGCTGCAGCGCACTTGGGGGCAGGGACTTGGTGAAGGGGTAGAATCTGGGCAGGACGGAGCAGAGGTGGGGCCCCTGTGCTCCCTCTACATATACGCCCCCAGCCCCAATTTATTCACCCCCTTCACACACATAGAGTCCCCGCCCTCCCTGACTCCTGCACCCCCTGACACACACTCAGCCCTCCTTGACTCCTGCACCCCCGACACACACACAGCTCCCTGCCCTCCCTGACTCCTGCACCCCCTGACTCCGCCCAGCCCCCTGCCCTCTCTGACTCCTGCACCTCCTCACACAACCCCAGCCCTGACTCCTGCACCTCCCCACATCCCACTCTCACCCTGAGCACCAAACAGGAGCTCCTTCACCCCCACCCCACATCCCCACCTGCACCCCTTGCTGCCCCAGGTAAGTGCTCAACACCCCAACCCCCTGCCCCAGCTCTGAGCCCCCTCCCACATCCTAACTCCTGGCCAGACCCTGCACCCCAACTTTTTTACATTTTTTTTAATAAGCACTCTTATCCAAAGAACTTTACAATAGTTAGCTAATGGTACAAACAATATTTGGAAAGATCATTAAGTGATCCATTGAGACCCTCAGCAATTTTCAAGTGGTCTGTGGAAAAATAAGTTAGACTACAAAA